GAACTAGACAAATAGATCCAATTTTGAACTAGTTGTAATTAGTTTTAACTTGGTTTTGGATTTTTATGTTCAATTGAACTTTAATTTGTTAGTTTTAAAGTATTTATTGACTGTTTTGGTTGTTGTTGTTGTGTTGTTGTTGTTGTTGTTGTTGTTGTATTGTTGTTATTGTTGTTGTTGTTGTTGTTGTTGTGTTTTTGTTGTTGTTGTTGTTGTTGTTGTTGTTGTTGTTGTTGTTGTTGTTGTTGTTGTTGTTGTTGTTGTTGTTGTTGTTGTTGTTGTTGTTGTTGTTGTTGTTGTTGTTGTTGTTGTTGTTGTTGTTGTNAGTCGGTTTTTAATAAAAAAAATAAATTATTCCAAAATACCGACCAAAGTTGGTCGGTTAATGAACATTGAATTCCCAGAATTCAACACTATCGTCTAACTTTGGTCGGTATTTTGCTTGCATTGTTGAGATTACCGACCATAGTTGGTCGGTAATGTTTAATTTTAATTATTTTAAAAAAATATATATTTTCAATTACCGACCAAAGTTGGTCAGTTTTTTTTAATTTTAATAATTAATAAAAAAATATAATTTAGTTAAACCGACCAACTTTGGTCGGTAAAATTAAATTAATAAAATATATTTCCGACCAAAGTTGGTCGGTAAGTAATTAAACTTGTCAGATGGTCGTTTTAATATACCGACCAACTTTGGTCGGTAAGCCATTCCGACCATCAAAATACCGTCCACACTATAATGGTCGCATTTTGGTCGGTAATTTGCCATAACCGACCAACGTTGATCGGTTTTTTGGTCGGTTTTTAGCGAATTTCTAGTAGTGGAACTGAGATACTTTCTTGGTATTGAGGTCCTCATCACAAAAGGAAATTCTACCGAACCCAAGAAAATATACACTTGAGTTGATTTCAGGTGTTGGTCTGAGTGGCTCTAAGCCTGTTTCAACACCTCTAGAGTTGAATCAAAAGATTACCACAATAGAATATGATGCTCATGTAGGAAAGCTAGGAGATCCAGATTTAGAAGACATTACTACTTATCAGAAGTCGATTGGGAAGCTCTTGTATTTGACAATCACACGACTTGACATTAATTATGCAGTACAAACATTGAGTCAGTTCATGCAGAGTCCAAAGCAATCTCATATGGATGCAGCCTTAAGAGTGGTCAAGTATATCAAAGGACCACCAGGTCTAGGAGTACTTCTGCATGCAAAGCCAGTTGACAAATTGACTGCCTACTGTGATGCAGACTGGGCAGCCTGCCCTAATACTAGGAGGTCTGTGACAGGATATGTTGTCAAATTAGGGAGCTCTCTGATCTCATGAAAATCTAAGAAGCAACAAACAGTTAGTAGGAGCTCAGCAAAAGCAGAATATAGAAATATGACAGCTGTGACAGCACAAGTCACTTGGTTATCAGGCCTTCTTGAAGAATATGTAATGCTTATACATTTACTTCTTTAGCTCAAATATTTTAAGAAAACCTTTTTTGAATATTCGACATCAACTGCTTTTTTCTTTTTACTATCTTCTTCTGCATAGATGTCTGATGTCTCCGTAATTTTCTGCGCAGGACACCAAAAAAAAAAAAGAGTACATTTGTGTGTGAACAAATTAAAGTTTGATTTCACATATATCATCGACCAACAGCACGCAATATTTAAGAGTTCTTCTAAAGGCTATTGCATTACCTAAAGACTACGCAAAGGAAAAGGAAAAAATATTCACCAAACTATTACAGTTGTCCGATCGCTCTATGAATAATACTATGAAATGGGAATGTGGTGATTGGCTGCCAACCAATATATACTTTAACTTATTTTTGACGTTTAAAACATAAACTAGATGTAAAGACTCATAATTTTCATTTATCATCTAAAATAACCTACTTTATGCTCTATGAAAATATACAATTTTACTAAGTATAAAGCTTTTATCTTCGTTTTATAAAAATCTAACTCCGGCATTTATATTTTTTTTCGATACTTAAATAGTATATGCCTACTTTCAATCACCTAATCCACATAGATATGTTGTTATTGTATTGTATCGTATCGTTTGATGAATATAATGTTTGGATAGATTGTGTCGTTTGCCATCGTTTCATGATATCACACACCAGCAATATGAAGAATAAACTTGCATATTATAAACAAAAATTATGACACGGGATAAAATTACTATATAAAAGGTAGGGTAAATGATAAAATAAAATTATTTAATAATAATGAATGGTGAGATTGAGAAAAAAAGATAAGGTAACGACGCGACCATATATACCAAATCAGTCGTTACATAAATTGGCACATTTCGTCGTTACGTAACGACAGATTTAACGATACGATACAATAAAATTTAAGTAACAATTAAAACAAACATTATATTTAAAGTAACAATACGATAGAATACAATAAACAAGCTGTAAATATCTTTTCTGGTCTCACAAATTGCATTTGTATTATTTACCTAGTTATTTCCTGAATTTAAATACAACGTGGCGCTCCTGACTCGGAAATGAGAGTTGGAAAAGATGTGAAAAGTTAGAGGCAGCCCAAAATTTCGAAGTCAATAGCTAGTCAGCCATGATTAGAGCAATTGTATTTGTGACAGCAAAACTACCGCTGACGTCTCACATGACCTAATTAACATTGCAATGAACTTTGCACCCTTTTGCTCTTTTTTTTTTCTTCAAAGTCTATTCCCCTATGTATAGAAAAGTACAAGAGGTTCCTTTGATTCAGAGACAAGTTAGGTAGCCATGAATATTGTAGATTATAAATTATAATGAAAAAATTAGTAATGCATGGATCATAATCTGGAAATTATCTTTTTGGATATTTAATTAGTATAACTTAACTAATGTATTAATTAAACAAAAAAAATTACTTATGAGCATTAATTTTGTTATTTAAGTATTTTTAATTTATTTATTACTAACACACATATTTATTTTCACATTCTAACCATAAAAAAGGTATATAGATTCACGCAACTTATGCAAATATTATTATGAGAAAAAGAAAAGGTAACAATCAAACACTGCATTAAAAACCAAACAACCCCTCAAAGTATTCTAGGTTTAATTATTCATATAATAAATGGAACGGCAAATCAAATGGAAATAGCCAGTAAATCTTTTTTCTTTTCCTCGAGTTGAGGTTAACCCCTAAATCTTTTAGAGTTAACTCCAGTTGAGATTTACCTTTCAAAAAGAATAGAAAACTCTTTGAAGCTAATAATTTCCAGAGGTTTCAAGATATTAAAACGTTTTAGAATTATGTTCATATCAATCCCAAAAGTCAAAAGTAGTTAAAAAAACAAAAAAATCAGAACAATTTCAAGAGTAATAAAGAGCACACCAAGTTTAGGTTTATTCTACAGTTGCAAAGACAATTCGATTGTAGTTCTGTATACGGTCGAAACTGATTTCGGTCTTCGTACGATCGAGATGGGATCATAATAAATCGAAGAAAGTCTTCATAAAATCGAGATGGATCCGAAGATGGCACAAACGAACTTCAAATTTTAAGGACAGGTCAAATATCGAGCTCGAAGTCATTGTCGAGCTCGGGTCCAAACCGAACTATGATGAAAAGCGGTGGAATCGAGCTTAAGGGCCAAAGGCCAACCAATACCGGCCTAGATACTAGGCCTCGAGTCAACATTGAGCTCGAACCTACATCGAGCACTAAAGTTGGAAACCGACAAATACCGAGTCTGGTCAGGATCGAGCTAATAGACAAGAGACGTTACAACCGCACTAAGGGAGAGAATCTCGGCAGGAATTAAGGAAAAATTGATTTATCATGGGTTCCCCACTATATATTTTTAATTATATCTAAGGTAGGACCCTTCCACTACAAGAGGGATGGATGACTATATTTCTGTAATGGTCAGATTTTTTGGCATCAAGACATTACAACAAAAACACTATTTCTCATATTGAAAGATTATCCTTTTGAGTTTTGTCACTTCATTTTATTTGTTCATTTATTATCTTTCAACTGTGTTTATCTTTTGCTCTTTACGGTCAAGATTGGATATTTTTTTTTTCTCTTTACGATTTGTGTCAAGTTATACCGCATATCCTTAGAACTACATACAAATTTAACTCTATTCGATTTTTTGGGTAAACAAGTTCATTGTCAAATTCTTTTTCTAAATAGTTAGTTCGAAACGCTATATATTTCACCGTCGCTTGTTGTACTAATGTCCGATTCTGATTAATCAAAGAATTTTCAAAAAAATCCTTGTCGAGTCAGTGTCAGATGTACCATTCAAATTACACCTCAATAAAAGACAAATCACAGTAGGTAATCGAGATCTCCTCTTATTTACTCTTAACATTTCTCTACAATTATTACTTTCTCAGTCCGTGTGATCTAAAACTAACCATATATATATATATATATTAATGTAACTGTAAATCATCTCATTAAAAATAAAATAAGTATTTTTAAGTTAAATTATTATTAATTATAAAAACGTGTTATTCATATAAGTTTTCCGCAAGAAAAGTTTGAGATCATTTTTTTTTTAAAAAGAAAAAAGTGAAAGGTATTACTCCTTCCGTTTCAATTTATATGAACTTATTTTTTTTTTGTATGTTCCAAAAAGAAAGACATCTTTTTAAATTTAAAAATAATTTAACTTAAATTTTCAATTATACCCTCGATAAGAAGCTTTTATAGTCACACAAACATTGTGTTATGTTTAAAACCACAAGCTTCAAAAGATTTATAGCCACACAAATGTTATGATTTATTTAGTACCTCAAATTTTAAAAAATTTTATTTTTTTTAAAATTTTATATCTAGTCAAATAAGCTCACATAAATAAAAATAGAGGGAGTATTTGTTTTGAACTTATTAAAAGAAAAGAGTATTTGCTACATAAATTCGGACGGAAGGACTACTACTCACTTTTTATGTAACAACAAGCGTGTGTCAAATGACGTTTAATTTCCAAACGTCATCTTATGCGTAACCATTGAGGTCATGTTCATTTTTTTATTTTTCTTTTAAGGTCCTTTGTTTTCTATCGTTTTCTTTTCAATTTCCAGTTTTGTAGTCGTCTTTTGTGGCTGGCTTATATAAGTCCATGATATTTCTAGAGTCAATTTGAAATTAAGTTTCCATATAAGTCACGTTAATATATATTCAAAGAAGGATGACATGGCATCGTGACGTTTCATTGTAACAATCACAGGTACACGATAAGATGACGGGTGTGTTGAAAATGTTTTTATGGAAAATGTGTGATTTTATCACTTATTTTTTTTTATTTGGTTGGTGAGTGAAATTTTTTTTTCGAAAAATATTTTTAAGTGTTTGATTAGAAAGTAAAAAATATATTTTTATGCTACTCTCATCATCCCCTGTCCCCCTCCCCCAAATAGCCAACATTTTCAGGATTCTATTTTCTTCAAAATTTAATTATTCTAAAAATTTACACAAACCCAAAGGAACTAATGTGCTGCTTTACTTTTTTACGCAAAAATAACGTTGAAATTTGCGCTCCATAACTAAAAAGAAAATATTCTTTTTTTGGTTGAAAAAAGAAAGTACTCTTTCTACAACATGAAATAAAGTACTCATTTTATTGAAATAAAAGAAAATACTTTTTCTATATCATGAAAAGAAAATACTTATTTTGTTGAAATAAAAAATACTTTTTTTACATCATGAAAAGAAAAAACGTTTTTTGTTGAAATGAAAGAAAATACTTTTTCTACATGAAAAGAAAGTATTTTTTGTTAAAATGAAAAAAAACATACTTTGTTATATCATGAAAAACAAATACTCATTTGTTGAAATGAAAAAAAAAAAATCTATCTATAACATGAAAATAAAGCACTATTAATAATAATTTTATTTAGGG